TACTAGAGGTCTAACAAAGAAATACGGGGACAAAAGGTGGCTTTGATCCCTCCCACTAGATTGGCCAAGGAGGTTAGATCCTCTGTTGAGAGGTGGTTTTTCCAGGCTAACAAAAATGGCTTCCTTAACCCCTCATGAAACCATCTGTCTTCCTTGGCTAGAATATGGATATTGTTGTCCTCAAACAAGTTTCCCCTAGCCTTCAGGTGTAGGTGAACAGCTGAGTCCTGTCCTGAGGAGTAAGCCCTCCTGTTTTGAGTCATGCGCCTGTGTAGCGGTTGCTTGGTCTCTCCAGTGAAAAGGTCTATGCACTCTTCATTACACAGAGTGGCATAAACCATGTTGTCAGTCTTATTCCTATTGATGTGGACTGTGAACGTGTTGATATCCTTGGTCCTTATTTTGACCCATGTGTCATCCATTTATCTGAACCACTGCCTGGGTTTTGTTCCCATGTATGAGTGTAGAGCTCTGCTTTCCACTTCTTCCATGTATAAGTTCACCACTATGGGAGACACAGGAGATCACATCACCCGTCCATGCTTCTTCTGGTAGAAATCTTGGTTGAATTAGAAGTATGTTGTGATGATGCACAAGTCCAAGAGAACAGATGTGATCAGTGGTTAGATTGGTTCTATCTGGCACAGTGTGGTCTTGAAGTAAACATTCTTACTGTGGAGACGGCTTCTTTGGTACGGATGCAAGTAAAAAGAGATGTGACATCATAGGAGACCATGGTCTCATCCGAGTCCAGCCTCAGGTTCTTTATCCTGTAGATAAAGATTTGGTGTGTTGCCAACCGAAGGAGCGAGGATGGAAGTAAGATGTTTGGCAATGTTGTGCCAGAGTTAAAGCCACTGATGATGGACCTGAGAGGAGCTCCTTCCTTGTCTATGTTTAGGAGAACATTGTTCGAGGTAAGAGTTTCTGCTGGGTACAGCAGGTAGTATTGTCACCTGTCGATGGCTTTGTCCTTTTCTAACTGCTGAATGTAGCTGATGACTATCATCTTGTAGATGCTGATGGGGTCTTTCTTCAGTGATTTATAGGTTGCTGTGTCACTGAGGAGAGCTTTAACTTTGGTGTGGTAGTCAGCTGTCTTAAGTACAATTCTGCATCGTCTTTTGTCAGCAGGTAGTATGATGGTGTCCTTGTCTTTTTGGAGGGCTTTAGAGCTTCCCTTTCCAGAATGGCCAGGTTGGAAGGGGGAGCCTTTGCACTGGAGAGAGCTGCAGTGACCTTCAGCCTATGTTGTTCAGCTGCTGTGGAGGTCAGTTTTAAGGTTTCTGATGGCTGTCTCCATGGCTGTGATGAGGTCCACTGTTGGGATATGTTCAGGGAAAATTGCAAAGTTCAGGCCTATGGCTAAGACCCCCTTTTCAGGCTAGGTGATGGTCCTGTCAGAAAAAATCTTCACCCTTTAATCTGTGAAGTCTTGCTGAGTTGGGTTGGAGTTCCTGTTAGTGGATGTGAGTTCCCCTGAGGTGGTCTGTCTGGACTGGTTATGTTTTCAATATTCTTTGCCTTTGTTATGGTGCTGGTGAAGATTCTCAGTCATCCTGGTCATAGTCATTCCAAAAAGTAAAAAGAACAATTCAGTGGACTTTGTTTCCATGTTTGAAGATGTTTTTCTTCCCATCCAGGAAGGTATTTCAAATGGGTAGGACTATTCTTCTTTGCAAACCTGGAGAACTCATCCATGATCTGCTTGGGATGTGCTGTGAACAGTCGTTCGACTGTGTGATCAAGTTCACTTTCAGTATGTCAATGGTGAAATGTATCTGTCTGATGCAATTGTTCAGCAGCTGGTGCTGTGCTTTCAGGAAGATCTTCCAAGCTCTGTGATCTTTCACTGTAGAGCACAAGCGTAAACTCTTGGGGATGATTTTGTTGTGTCTGCATCTTAAGTTGAAATGCAGGTGGTTTCTGCAGTCTGCAAGTTTCCTGGAAAATCTCTCATAATCCTGACCCACCATAGGGGGAGTCCATCCCAAAGTGTGTAGTAACATATCTGTCAGTCTTCTAGATCATGGTTAAGCTTGAAAAAAGTTCAGTATAGGCAACTGGACATGGAGTTTTATAGAAGACCTTTCTCCTGTCATCAAAGAGGTTTCTTCATTTCTAACTATTGGAGGGGAGCACTGAGATTAATAAACTGCAGGTCTAACAAAGAAACACGAGGGACAAAACCCCCTTTTGAAAACCATCTGTCTTCCTTGGCCAGAACATGGACGTTGTTGTCCTCCAACGAGTGTCCTTTAGCCTTCAGGTGGAGGTGATTAGCTGAGTCCTGTCCTGAGGAATTGACCCTCCTGTGTTGAGCCGTGAGTCTGTGTTGCTTGGTCTCTCCAATGTACAGGTCTGTGCACTCTTCACTACACTGAACGGCATAAACCATGTAGTCTGTCTTGTTTCTGGGTTTCTTATCTTTGGCTTGAACTGGTTTCTGTTTCAGAGTGTTGCTGGGTTTGAAGTCCACAGGGATTCGATGCTAGTTGAAAATCCTCCTGAGTTTTTCAGAGACTACAGCAACATAGAGAATGACGATGGTCCTTTTCCCATTTTCTTCCATCTCAGCAGACCTCTTCTTGTTGATTTTTAGAAAAGCCCATCTGGGATAACCACAGTTCTTCGGGGCTGTCCTTATGTGTCCCTGTTCTATCATCTTCCCTTTGTTGGTGGTGGGAATGGTTTCTTCTCATGTCTGGAGGGTTCTGATGATGCCTAGTTTGTGTATCAGTGGATGGTGTGAGTCGAAACAGAGGTACTGGTCGGTGTGCGTGGGTTTCCTGCATTGTAACAGCATGTTTGGTTAGTATTTTGATGTCTGACCAAATGAAGATCCCATGTGGAACAGAACTGAGTATATGCTAAGACTTAGACAACTTTTTATTATCATTTTGTATAGACAGGGTTTATAAAAAATGAAATTTTGTATTGTACAGCTTTCAGACAGTGAATGAGCAGCAGCTTAGCGGTGAAATGAAAATTTCAAGGCGATAAGTGCAGCGTTAGAGAGTAACTTACTCCTTTGAAGAACAGTCCAGTTCTGCCTGAACCTTTACTCCAATTACATCTTCAAGGTCAGTTCCAGTCAGCAGAGCATTGTTTCTGCCAAAGTAAGATACCGTACTGGGAAAGATGGAGGTTATCTTTGGCCTCTGTCAGAAAACACAAAAATAAATCCACGTTTATCATTTCCTCTCTCTCTGTGGTGTTCTGAATGTATCTAAAGGTGAGAAGAATTGTGTGAATGAAAATACACCACTTTTGAAGAAGAGATCTTTTTGGAGGCATTCTCCTTATAGAGGAAATATTGAACCACATTTAGTTTCATTGGTCATTGCATCTAAGACCTGTTTAAATCTACTGAACATTCAGGTATGGTATTTTTCTAGCTTGAATAGTTTTCTTTCTCTCTTATTTGTATTACCTTTTATTTCCTACACTAATTGTTTCCACCAGCTAATGTTGCTAAATGAAATATTTTAGGTTTAATTAGGTTTAGATTTTAATAATGCAATAACCAGCAGATTTTTAAAAGCTGCTATTGGTAAATAAATGAACTCTTACTGTCACATCCTGCTCTCCTTCTTTGGCCCAAATACAATGATTTTGTCTCCATCTACAGCCAGCTCTGATACACTGCTGACATCTGCAGACATAACAAAACACAATGTTTTTTACTCAGTCTAAAGTTATTATCATTTTACAGTTATTTATTTAAAATACAGTAACATTAAAAAATAATTTAGTAAAATAAATGTTTGTCAAAGATTATTTGTTATTAGTTAAAGTTATCATTACGTTAAAGGTTTGCTGCATCTTAAACAGGTCATCAATCCATTACAGGAAAAAAAAAAAAAAGGTCAAACCTCTACAAAGCCAAACCAATTAACTTAATTTAGAGTGTCCAATAAAATATTTATGTTTTTAGATAGTGAGAGGCAACCAGTATCATGAGAGAAAACCTGGCAGGCATCATGGAGTCCTAGATTTCTTGATGCCATTGTTCTAACAGTAGCTACTATTCAGATGTGTAGCACTCTATTTAGTCATAAAGGAAATTCTGCATAGTATATATAATCGCTGTTGCTGTAAAAAGTATTCGACTATTCACTCCAGTTAAATAAATGGAGATCAATGGATTTTATTCAGTCAGCAGTTTATTTCATCGTTGCAAAGAGAGAACAAGACATCATAAAGCGCTTATTGTACGGTAATCAGCCCTGTTCTGATCTGGGCAGCGTTCGTTCCCCTTTACTTACAATAATAGAAAGTAGTCAGAGTCAAAACTAACTACGGACACTTTGGTTAAACAGTAAAATGATATGATATGAATAAACCTTAAGAATCTCTCTCTCTCTCAAAAATATAAATAAACTTACGATACTGAAGAAGTAGAACAGTCGATCAGCTTTAGTTCCTCGTTTGTCCAAAGACCCCCAAATGTGATTTTTACCGTGACATCAGTTTCTATAACTCAAACATTCTCTTCGTTAATTTGTTATTAGAACTAATTCATTAATCATTTTATAGATAGATAAAAGTCACATTGTGTCAAACATAACAGATCAGCGGCTTCTAAAGATATTTTAGTGCAGATTTTGGGATATTGAAGAGTCACTGAGAAGATTTCAGGCTTTCACAAACAGTGGAAACAGTGATATTAAAAGTAAATAGAAATTTAACTAAAATTATATGTTGAGCTTTTTTATTGTTTTTTTTTTCCTTTCATTAGTTTTTTTGGATATTTACTTCTCAATAAACCAGTAAATCCATCCTAATAAGGACCTTTCAGGTCTAACTGTTATGGACTCGTTGGACAATGCAGTCATTTCTACAAAGAAAAAATACAGTTTTTATGATAGAAATATGATAAAAACAATAAATATATTTAGTTATCAGCTGCTGTTCCAATTTCCTGCCAGTTCTTTATGTTGTTTTATTAACAGCATATTCTCCAAACAGTTGCTACATTTCACTGGATAATTCGTCAAAGATCACTGACCTTTATCCGTAACAGTGACAGCGAGATTGCAGGTGCAGTGTGGGTACTGTGGTTTTGATCCATCTAGCTTACAAATCTGGTCTGAGTTTGAGGAAAACTCGCAGTTGAATGCAGGCTTGAACTTCTGCGTCACAGTCAGGTGTACTTTAACAATTACTCTGAGCTGGAAAAGGATCAATTAAAGGGGATTAATAGTTGAAACTTGCATCTGAACGTCAGTAGCATGTGATTGACCCACCTCCCCCGAGGGATCCTTTACAAGTCTGTGGGAAACCAGTTTCTGTGGGGATTCATCAAGGAATGAGAACCACTCTGAGTCTTTGCAGTCATCTTTAAACATGAAGCTGAATAAAAGTGTAAAAAAATAAACATTTTAATGAAAATGTCAGACCTATCTAAATGGATTAGATGCAGATTATGTTTCTCTGACCTTTTTTTAGTAACGCACCACACACAGTGTGGATCCTTTGCTCTAAACCAGTCCTTCACATCTGTGTAGGCACTGCAATCTGACACTGGTACCCGCTGAATCTGGAAAACAAAACTTGGATTTTAAAACCTGTACAAGTAAAATTCAAATAAAATCAAACTATATTTATATCACATTTTTAGACAATTCTTCAGCGATAAAAAAAAAAAAAAGAAATGGTTACCTGGTCTTTAAAAGGCAGGTACACATGTTTACGATCCACTGGGTCCAGGAGGATTTTTGGAAAACCTCTCAGACCCCTTTGGAGGACCTTTGGACATCCTGGAACATTGTTCTCATCTACAGCAAGCTTGCAACAACAGTGAAGGTGGTTACTACATGCAATGTTGCATTTTTCATTCATACAGCTCCACGTCAGGCTTAGATTTTATTTATTGCACACTGTAGCTTTATGAGAAGTGGTTGATGAATTATTATTTTAGGCTGATTGAGCATTTAGGTAAATCTTTTCTGATTAATGGATCATTTAACCTGTGATATAATTTCTACACAGTGATTGCATCGAGCTACAAAGTTTAAAGATTTACTCAAACACTTAAGGATTGTAGCCCAATGATTGTACAAGTTAACCCCAAACTAGGATAATAAGATACAATTTTAACAGTTTAAGGCAGTGCTGTTGCTCAGCCACCTAAACACAAGAGAAATCATACATATAATAGTATTCAGTTCACTTATCTGGACTCATTTATTGGAAGTTTTTGTTTAAAGTTGGGTGATGTTACTATAAAGTATGTTTATAACTGGCAGCATTTTGATTCCTCATCGTGCCTCAACATTAACGTTTAAAAACAATCTGTAATGAACCAAAGTTTTGTAAGATAAGATGTAATCTCTGCTCCTTAAACAAACCGCTCACCTTAATGAGCTCCCCACTGGTTGTTCCAATGAAGAAAACCGTCCAGCTGTCCTCCCTCACCGCCAACACAGAGCTCAGGTATTTCTTCTTGAACAGAACAACCTTCGGTTGTAAGGATTTAGGTTGGGACTGAGGAATAGAGACATTTGATTGGAATTTATAATTATTACCATTATTTATGGAAAAACAAAAATAATTTATATTGATAAAAATCTATGTAAAATCTGTTTTATTTGGCTTTATTCATTTAGCATTGTGGTTAAGTAATTATCAACATATTTTGCAGAAACTTTTCAACACAAGTAATCATTCAAAAATAAGGATTAAATGTATAAATATAAATGGTAAATGACCTGTACTTATATTGTGCTTTTTCAAGTCAGGACCAAAGCGCTTTACACTACATTCAGTCATTCACGCACACACTGATGGTGGCAGGCTACACTGTAGCCACAGCTGCCCTGGGGCCCACTGGCAGAAGCGGGGCTGCCGTACGCTGGCGCCACCAGGCCCTCTGACCACCATCAGTAGAATGGTAGACATCAAATAAATATTTTTAAATAAAAATGTTGGGATATATTGCCACAAGGGAGCCCAAATCAGTTGGATGAACCATCTAAAACCACCGGAGCCAGACCACGTGCTCCCTCGGACCCCCCCAACCACCCACCCCCCACTCCTTCACGGACCGAAGGTAACTCAGTTAATAATTTTCCTTTTCTTTTGATGCATTAATGAGGTGCTACTCTCGGCGAGAGAGACAGGTAGATTCAGGGATTTAAATTAATGCTGATTTTAATCTGTGTTGGTTATAAGAGTTCTGGTTCATTGGTTGAAATAAGTGTGCTGTGAAAGCTGAAAGTGATATTTCTATCTTCTTCTCTGCAATTACTTCGACGCCAGAGTGTTTGCCAGTTTAGGGTACGCTAGCCAAGCTGAGATTTTTGCTGAGTCAAGCTGAGCTTTTTGTCAACCTGAGTTTAACTTTGTTTTTGTCTTTGGCTCTCGGCAGGAAGTCATCCTGGCAAACCGGATTTCTCGGACCTTCACTGAGCTTCAAACTGAGCTGGGATTCAAACAGGAGGTTTGGATCCACTTTCCCAAGAGATCGTATGAGCTTCACACTGAGAAAGGGATTTCTTCACTTCGACCCATTCAAGTACCGCAGGAAATCTGAGTGGCAGTCAGTTTCTCCGTTCACCAACTTTTCACCAGGATTCAAGGATTCAACAACTTCTCTGGAACCAAAGTTTTGTAAGATGTAATCTCTGCTCCTTAAACAAAGCGCTCACCTTAATGAGCTCCCCACCGGTTGTTTTCAGCAACCAAGTCCACTTCCCCAAGTTCATGAGTCAAATTCCCCACTTAGCCTGAACTAACCGCTGAGTCTTCCCCTCACTTTACAGTTCCGGTTGAGCAGTGTTCAGAGCAACACTTCTCCCTCCTCTAAACTTCTTCAATAAAACCCGTTAAACCTTTTCCCTGGTCTCTCTGTTCGGTCTTCTGCATTTGGGTCTGAACTTTGTAACATCGTGACAAATTGCACTGTTATCATCATACCTGCTGCTATTCCAACGGACATTTGTGAATGTATTAACATCTGGCATATTTTGGACAATCTCAGAAGCCAGTTGAACGGACACTTTAGGGTTTTATTATTCTTTTATTTTGATTTCTTTAAACTAGTCATTTAATATACCAAGTGTTCATTTTTCTAATAGCGTGTAGTGTTTGCATAGATGTTAGATTTTCTATAATCCTGAATTATTAGAATAAAGGCATCATTGTTTAACTTGTAGTAGTTCTGTGTTTCATATAGTGAATGATTTATCACTCAGGTCAGATCCACCCCCCTTTTTGGTAATAGTGCGAATAAACAGAGATAAAAGATTTTTTATTGATAAATAGCTCTGCTGATAACTTAGCCTGGGTCACTAGATTGTTGTGGATACCTGGATTTTAACAGCCAGTCCAGGAACCATCCAGAGGTGAAACCACAATCCCTGGTAAGTAAGTAAATTAAAGCTACCATTATTCAACTAAGAACACTAAATTGATTTCACCTCCGATTTTGAATAGGTTAAATAATTAACTATAACTCCAGTTCTAGGTAATCATTTATTCATTATCTGCAGGATATTATTTTGCACAAAATATTGGCGTCCCTGGGTGGGCCTGAGACTGAAACATTCGTTGCATGAATAACAAATCATCCAGACTGCCTTTAGTTAAATAGCTAAAAAAGCTACTCCTGCTGAAAATAGACCGGGTGTGTTTGCGGTGTTGCAACTGTTGAGTCTAGCGGGTTTGAGAAGATTTAACGGCCAGTTAATTAAATCTCAGACCTATAATCCAATAGAGAATTGGTGATTTGGGACTTCAGCTGCGTTGTTTGTGGGTTGCTGCTACTCTGAAGCCGTGAGATCAAATTGTGGATTGGTGCATCACAAAGGTTCTTAAAGTCACAGCAACTGGGTCAGTGTAGTTCACATTGACAGAGATTGTAATCTCCCCCTAGTGGTAGCTTGTGTAATTACAACTACTCAGCTGATCCCAGTGTTTTGAGACCCAAATTTTTTTTGTGCTCTCTTTGGCGCCATCTGTTGCAACCACAAATTGAAAATTCCCAGGCGAGGGCACCTTGTCTCCCCCTGGCGGTGGCTTCTAAAATTGCAGCTTAATGGTGTAGAGAAGGAGTGACTTGTTTTTTTTTGTTTCTTTCATTTATGCTGTTTCACTGTTGCTTTCTGTGCTGTGGACAACCAGTGTTTTAACAATTGGAGATTGGTCAAACTTAAAACTGTTGGTATATATAAAAAAAAAAAACTCAGGTTTAATTGTGCAGCTGCTGCCAAATTTGATCACTTCTGCCAGGTTTTTCCAAAACTGCATTATCCATTTTGTGTGCAAGAGTTGTTTAGCAGTGTTCTACACCTATATAGATACACGCGCACATATCTATATTTGATAATTAATAGCTCTGCTGATAACTTAGCCTGAGTCACTAGATTGGTTTGGATACCTGGATTTTAACAGCCGGTCCAGGAACCCTCCAGAGGTGAAACCACAATCTCTGGTAAGTAAGTAAATTAAAGCTACCATTATTCAACTAGGAACAGTAAATTGATTTCATCGATTTTGAATATGTTAAATAATTAACTATAACTCCTGTTCTAATTAATCATTTATTCATTATCTGCAGGATTATTATTATTATTATTTTGCACAACAAAAATAATTTAAAATAATTAATTTCAATTCAGTTTATTTCTATGGCACCAATTCACATCATGTCATCTCAGTTCACTTTACAGTTCATCAGATCATCCACTCAGATTGATTTTACATATTTAATTGATCCTAAATATCTAAATATCTACTTCTTGTAATGATACTAAAGTCAACCCAAAAGGATTCTGCAGCAGTGGGAATGGTAGTCACCTGAGACAGACCTCAGGCATCGCCAGATCCTAGCAGCTCCATGATTAGGAAGGGTCTCTCCAAAGACAAGTGAAATGAGGGCGAACATTGGTCACGCCTTGGATCGTTGGTCCAACTTAAGGAAGCAAAGGGGCTCAGAAGCCGGGCAGAGTTTACTGCTTTTCTTCTCAATTGATAAGTGAATTTATTGTTATATTAGCAGATCTAACATCTAGCTGGTAAAGAGTACAGAAGGAGGGAAGGTGAGAAAGACGCGTCACTTACTGGTTAGAAGGAGTTTAACTATCAGGCTACAAAAAAAATTAAACTTTACCAAACAAGATTGTTCCTAGAAATAAACATCAATCTCTGTATGGACCAGAGATGGTACCTCAAGAGACTAGAGCAGCGGCGGCTGGTCTACAGACTACTAAACATTATCAGGGGTTTTAGTTAAATCCAGCGGCCTACCGGCTTGTTAGGCTTGTTTGATGAGTAATAGAAGTCTGGATCGGTGTCTGTTGTCCTGCTCTGATCAGGACTGATGTCAAACAGCAGCAGCTCAGTGTTGTTTTCTCCTCCATCCAAACTGAACACTCCGCTCCAAAGGACCTGCTGTCCTCCTGGGATGAGCGAGGAGGCCAGCAGTCTGCTGCCTTCACCTCCATCAGAGCTACTGAGAGTCGCTCCACCAAGAGACTTTAGAGTCTGAGCTTTACTGGTTTCAGCCTGAAGCCAAATCAGACGGACTTTGTTGGTTTTAGCTCCTGATGCCACGTTGGAGAACAGAAACACTGTTGAGTTGATCTGAAATCCATCCACAAAATCTACATCAGCTTCAGTTTGGATTCCAGGTGTTTCCCCTTCTTCAGACGAAGCAAATATCCCCCCAGACTGTTTCTGATCTGTGTTTTGAAGGTTGATTGTCTTTAAGTCAGATGGACACTTGG